GCTTATTATTAAAACTACGGCTGCATACGTGTATGCACACGAACAATTGCGTCTGTGTTTTTATGTTTTACTCCGTTATTTTGTAGTCCTTAATTTTCACCTCTGAAAATCATACTCAAACAATTATTCGCCTCAGGCTCAGTGAACATCGGTGAATATTCACCTCGACTTTGTCTCGGTGAATATTCACCAATGGTCACTTCGCCTTTGGCGAATAACTGTTAAATAAAACACGCAGCTGAACTACCAAACTAAAAAAAGATCACATATTATTGATCTTATCAGACAGATAATCAAACAAGTTAGAAATTAACTTGAATCATTGTTAACTTTTATTTTTCCTTCGTTATCCAGTTTGAGTAATTGATTTTAGTCGACAAAATCTTTTCAGTTTGTGAATTTTATAGATTGAAATTTCTTGTGAGGAGGTTGGGAAGGATTTACCATGTTAAAAATGGGAAATCCTTGTTGATCTCCTCACAAGCAATTCCTTTTCACTCTTTCTTTACGCACCTCAGGTTTGTTAGACACAGCTAAAGTATAAGTGAAAACTTTGCATGTAAGGTGCGTTCCATTCCATTACGATTTTGCAAAACTTTCAGTATTAATAATGCATTATGTTTAAAGTGGACGAGCTTTATACGCGTTATCAGTCAAACTCTATGGACTTCTTAAAGTGCTAGTTGGAAGATATTGTTTGCATAATTAGTGACAGTAATTGGACCGAGTGGAGTACAATTCAGGGAGTAATCGGGCCAGTAATTTCAAAATTGGACGAGCGCGAAGCGTGAGGCGGATTTGAAATTACGAGCACGAATTAGTATATGTAATAGGACTACATGCTGTCCAATTTGGAAATAATTGGATGAAAAAAATGTGACGTGCGAATAACGTAGGTATCCAATCACAGGGATCCAATTACAAAAGTTCGCATTGGATACCTGTAATTGGACACCCAAGTGATCACGCACCGATTACGTGACAAATAGGCGCGCAGAGAACTGATCACGATCGAGAATTTTGTTATAGATACGATAAAAACATAATTCCCATTTGAAAACTGATTAGTGAAGTAGCCTAGTTTGCATACCGGTCGATGCAAAATGAAGCAAGTCCTCAGGGATCGATTAAACATCGCCCTATATAGCCTAGGCCTAAAGCGTTCGTGAGTCTTGCAGGCTAGAATAGCTCCGTCTTGCCCGCTCGTATGTAGAGTTCCCAAGAAAAATGTTAAGGTAGATTCCCTCGCATATGAGGAGCACCAAATAATGATGCAAAGTACACGTAGAAATGTGCACTTAATTAAAAGAATGTTAAAATAGCTCTGTTGTGTTCGGGAAATTTTCAACTTTCTTGGCTTTAAAGAGCGATTTTTAACATCGATCAAAATGAGTGACTGAAAGTTTGGAAAGCCGTCATTCTCGTTATATCGGGGTTTCATCGATTTATTTGAGTGACGTGACGGAAACCCTATCTCCTTGGTAACTGTCATTTTGGTCGACAAGCCGAGTAAAATATCACGTGAAATTTTCCCCAAAGAAACAACTACCAATCGATGCCAATTAACTAATGTTATCGATTGATATCGATTGATCGATTGCTTTTCCGATCATCGATTCAGCGACTAGACACCCGGGGAAAACAGATAGGGAAGCTGACGGGAGGCGCGAAGGGATTGGGACAGTACACGGCGCGTTGGCCGGTAAACACTCGCCGGACCCTAACAGAAATGACCAGCTGCNAAGTTTGAACAAAAATCTATCGTCACGTTTATTTCAGAGGAATTAGAGGAAGTTGTCAGCTCTATTTTACAAGTAAAATTACCATTTATGAAAATCGTGTTAAGACTTTGCACCAAAATAGCGGGCATGTTTCTGGAAGATCGGTCAGAATTACCGTACATAATTATGGGCATGTCGTACTGAGAGCGCTATCGGCCGCTATCTGCATCGTGTACTCTTAAAAGAAGCCTAACATGCTTGTACAAGTCGTTTGAAGTCACTGCAAATGGGTCGAACGAGCCAAACAAAGCTGAATTAGAATTTCAGGTTTAATTGATCATTTGACTTGAGGCGCTAATTTAGACATGTTTAACCTCTGCGATTTCACCTAAATGACCTCACCATGTCTAATTTACTGTGGGTTAAATTAGCTAATCATTGCCGCAAGAGCATGAAAAGCACTCACATCGGTCATTTATTTCTATATTTCAGCGAAAAAGCGGCCCTAACGTGAGATTCAATTTCAATAATCCAGTCTGGATTCGCAAAAACACAGCCACAGAATTTGACTCGTCACTAATCTTCAGTGATACAATTCTGTCCTAGAGCTAGCTTTCCACAAGGCTTATCGTAGCTCAAATAAAAGGAAATAACTCTCCTGTATGCCCTTTGAGGCCAGGAAGACTAAATTCACCGTCTTTTCGTTGAATCAGGAATTGTAGAATTTAATTGAGTGCTTTTAACATGAAACTGGAGTCTAAATCAACACGAACGTACAATACCAAAACCACGAAGGAGAGCTGAGATCATTCGTTGGGAAGAATACAAAGCTTTTATTCCACATCTATCGTTCAAAACGATTACAGCTGTAAGCAAAATGTTGTTGTAAAGAGAGAGGGACTTACATGTAGCTTGGGTTCTAGAGTCGGTTTCGCTAAAGTTCCCTTTTACTCTTTGAATAATGGTTTACAGGCTTGCCCTATAAATTCACAGATCTGTGCGGTTTGGCACTACTGAAGAATATTTTGTATCACTCCGTGGTTGACCACTGTCAAACTCGCCATCCGATTGTCTAAGAAAGCACTAACATTCGTCAAACAGATAGCCTCTACCAGGCGTTCAGTTAGTTGGGGCGCAGTGCGAAAAACGGCGAGCGAAAAAAATAGAGGAGAAGCGCGGCGAGAGAAAGCGAAAGAAGGCGGCGTGAGTTTTTTCGAGCATTTTGATCGACACAAAACAATGACTACTATAGTAACGAAACAGTTTTATTAAAATTCGAATGTCTGAATAGGGGCCCCTGGGTATACCACAGTAATAGCACTCCGACATGGCTCTCGGTTTCTATCGGCTTTGATACTGAGTCATCTAACTGTTTTAGCATAACCCACTAACTATCAAGAACATATAGTTTATTTTACAGATAAGTTAATATATTTAAGATATTTTATATAGTTTTATTTCACAGAGAACTAGCGAGAATCAGATTGATGCCATTTCTAAAGATTGACCACCAGCAGGTGCTGTCTGTTAATTAGGCCTCCCCTGTAGAGCCAAACAGATTTACATCATACTCAGTAGTCAGTGGGTTGGTTATACTGATTAGCTACCACTAGAGCTAACAGTCTACTTGTCTTAGGAGATATCATTGACACAAAAAAGAGACTTCAAACCACTGTACATTTCTGTAAAGGCTGACCTCTCTTTAAGTACTTAACAGGTGAATTCTAAACAGTGCTTTGTCTACAAAAAGGAATCATGGGCTTGTAGCGAGTTTAAACATATACAAAATATGGTTTGTTTGGTTGATGAGTCGATTGGCACTAACGTACACTGCTTCTGACCTGAAAAATACAACAACAACAACATAATGATTTCTGTACGGTGAAATGAATTGAACAGCTGACATTAATTAACAAGCATAGCTACACTGTAAGTGTATAATGTTACATGTTCTACACAGCGATAAAACGTGATGAGCGAAGGGCAGCAGATCTGCTAACATATTTCTGAGTTTGTGATTATTATGCAAATGAATAGAGGCAAGGTTGACCAAAGGTCAGAGCGTCAGGTTTGCGTAAATCCAGGCGTAGTCAATCAATAAACCGATAATTGATATTAATCGATAACAATCGATATAGGCAGTCAATGAATATCGATGAACAAAAGAAGTTGTGAGTTCGATTGCTATCGATTGCCGATAGCAATCGATAGCAATTGATTCACCGATTGGTATAATTGATTATTATCGATTGTTATCGGAAATTATTTTTTTGTCCTTTTACAAGTTACAATGATAAAATGTTTGACAAAATTTGTCTGTAATGGTTTTATTGAGTCACTTTATCATAGCCTGCATATCTTTTACAATCATCGACAGAAAAACAAGAACAGAAACAACTAAAACATTTTGGGCTTTACATCTTTACATCATGCCAAGATCCTGCTTTAGACCCCAAAAGACCTGACCGTGTTGTTCAAAAGGTGCATAACGTTATCTACAGGATAACTCACTCTCAAGGGAATAGCATGGTTCCATCCAAGGGATAGCGATTTATCCGGTCATGTCTCGTCAATAAAAATGCTGAAGATGAAGTCCTGTCTCTTATTGTTCCAAGTACTATTTTACACAATAACAAAATCATCTTTGAATAGTCCGGGTGGTTATTGTCATTTTTTTTTCAATCGATAACAATTGACATTCCTGAGGAAAGGAATTCTCAATTACTATTGATTTTTGCCAATCGATAGCAATCGATAAGGAAATTTTTCCGTGAGTTTGATTGTTATCGATTGCCGATATCAATCGATAGCAGTCAGCTCTTGTTATCGATTGATATCGATTGATTTCCGATGTAGATTTTTATCGAATGACTACAGCTGGGTTCATGCAGCTAGTGGGATTTTGTGAGAGACAGCTTGATTCAGCGGTGCAACTGCCAAGGAATTTTTGCTTCACTCCACTCTTTCCTCTGTTGAATGTATAATCAACGGAGTTGGGTTGACGGTACTAAGTGTCATTTTTGCAATTTAGCCTGAAACGTTCTAAGTTACCATTTTTTAACTATTTGAGTTCTTAATATTGTTTTTCTTAAACTACCAGTAACCCTGGAAAAAAAAAAACAACAACAACCGAATATGTTCTGCAATGAGCTCTGCAACAAGACAAGCTCATTGTCTATGATCAAATATGTCCCTAAAAGTATTTGGTTATTGTGCTGTAAAGACTGAAGTTTTACATTTTTCCACAGTTCATAGTTTTTGTTGAAAAAGTTATCAAAAAGGTTTCCTCTAGTGACTCCCAGCCAGGAGTGTGTTCTTAGCATGTTGTTAAAATCTGGGTTAATCTCAGTCTCTTAAAAGTTTTTTTTACAACCACTTACACAAAAATCCCTGCCGAAGTTTGAGGTTTGAGATCAATTTGCATCACGGTGGAGTGTTGGTGAGTTAGTTACTTAACTTTCAATGCTTCTTCTGTACCCAAGAGTAATGAGATCTGGCCAATTCTCAGTGAATTTGACAAAATGCTGCCCTGGGTATTATTGTGATGGACTATCCAGTGGAGTAGCAATTTTCCCAGCCTGTCACATTACCAGGCTCCAAATAGATTACTTCAACATGTAACAAATTAATAAAAAAACACATTCTGCTGACATACAATGTATATATATTCAGTCCTTATTCAGTCCTCTCTGGCACCTTGATGTCTCTTGGTTTGAACCAACCATTGGTCATGTATCAAAACTAACCTTTGATCCTTAAAATATTGCTTTAAAGTATCACTGAAATTTTTGGAGTACTTGACAAATTCCTTTTTGTTTCGCTCCAGACCCTGCAGGGACAAAATCGTAACATTATAATAAGGATGTAAAATGTATTCACTTCACACTGACATTTCTTAGAAAGAATGATCTTGAAATTTTAGAAAAGTTTCCACCAGAAGTTGTTTCCTTACATGTAGCTGCTAATAAAACTCAAAAGAGCACTTTTGCTAGCTACACAAAGTGCTAGTTGCTTTTCAAGATTTAATAGAATTAATTATTTTAAGTGCTTGAATGAATGCAAGCGGTACCCAAACAAATGAGCTCAACACAAGTCATATTAAACTAACAAAAATAATATACAGCTCACAGGGCTGAAATGTACATGTAAGGAATGAGTTATAAGCATTGTTTGTAGCTTTGCTCTCCTCCTCAGACTCCCTAGCGGAGGAAGAGATGGAAAGGGGAGGGGGAGGGTGCTGGGGGATGGGGACAAAGGAAACTTTCCCTTTGTACCTTTTTTTTCTCTCTTCCATCCTACATGGTCTAGGCAGCACAAAACAGGCCTCTGTGGAGGAAAGAGTTTTAGCCTGCCCTTATAAGGAGTATTAACTTACCTCTTTATACTGTGACATCTTTCCCACATTTGGACATTTCTTAAAAACCTCATTTACAGCATCTAGCAGGTCCCTTATAGCAGTTGCAATATCCCTAATATGTGTAAAACAGCATGTATGCATTCAATAATGTGATCACAGATTTTATCAAGTGGTGTGATTCTAGGTCGTGTTGGATGATGAAGCACAAACCTTATGCCCTTAATGTTTATTGTAATATCAAAGACAAACTGCCTGACTATGGTATTTAGTAATAAATGATTTATAACACCTCCTTTCATTTCCTATTTCCCACTTACTTTATAGTTTGTAGAAACTTTTGTCTATTGGAGATTTCAGCTGGAATCTTTGCTAATATGGACTTCAGGTCTACAAAAAAATATTCACAATACATTACTGGGCACAGTTATTATACCAGTTGATTACAGCCATTGTAAACAAGTGAAAAGAGTGTGACTATAATTTGACATATTCAAGGATCACTTAAATCATAATAACCTGGCTCACTATTTAAAAAGTACTAGTTAGTACATGTAGATATCTAACCAAATGGCAGCTTTTCAAATACTTTAGAAAAAACTTACCACCAATAAAACTGTACATGTAGTTTAGATTTAATTTAAAGTCTGTATCAAGCCTATTTAAACTTAAGCAAGCTATTCAATTTTTCCATCAAACCACCTGTTGACAGAACCAAGTATATACTGATGTAAGTAACAAATGGTGGCTTGTTGACTGCATACCAGTTTCTGTGGCCTATTTAAGGAAGATCTTGAAAGTCATCAAGGTGGCTTGTAACACTTTCTAGCACTTTCCAGGAGGTTTAGTTTGACAGATTGATAGAATATTGCTATCACACAAATGATCACTTATTTTGGTCAACAAATTACATGGCTATTCATTGCAAAATAGGTTACCATAGTAGTAATTGATAATTTACCTTTAGCTTTTTTCAACAGTGCAGTGAACTCTTCTTCTTGTACATTGAACTCATAATCTGTATAAGAATAACACACAACATAGTGATAGTTTGTTTAAACAATACATATTCTATTTGTACCTAATCATACCTTTCTGGTACGGTTTGGCAGCATATCAGGCGAGTTTGGTCGAGCCATGGTTTCTATCTCATCAAAATACTGATGGGAAGACCAAACGAGGTACAACTAGGTATTTACTGTACCCAGATTCTGACAAGTGAGGATGATATTGTAGCCATACCAGGTCAGCAACTTGATGTTGCAGGATACATGAATCAGGACAGTAGACATGGCTTTTTATTGGCTAATCGTAAATTTGGGTTAATGGTAAATGTAACTATGATGTCCTTGTCTTGTTGTTTTGAAGCAGTTCCATTTAAAACATTTTTTTGTTGGAGATGATGGGAAATATGACTAGCTGATGAAGCAAAAGGTCAATTTGACTTTAGAAAGAGCAGACTTCAAATAATATTTGAAAACAACCAACCTCCTATACAGACTCTAAGTGAGCAAGCCTTAATGTCTGATTAGGATAGCTGTCTACTTTTGTTTGGTAAGGGGGGGGGGGAGGGTAGTTAAAGGTTAAAGCACAGGAAATGAATATCTTGAGTAGCAACTGGTAAACTCACCCTCACTATTCTGTGCAGCACAGAGGAGCAGGACTTCATTCATGTTCACTGATAAAGATGCTAGGTAATAACAAGATGAGCTAAAATCACACCACTGTTTACTGTACAACTAAACAAAACCTGAATCTTAAAATGTCACTGTACCAGGTATATTTAACAATTGAAGGGGTGAGTGCAAAACCAGGCTAAGTGACGATTTGGGTGAAAAAAAAAATGTTCGCGAAAGGGCTTGAATTTTTGCATGTGGTCTTCAATGTAATATAAAAAAATGCGGCCCTGTATTTTTGTCGCTGGTTTTTGCTTCGTTTTCGAGTTATAACGTATGCAAAAATACTTGGCTTTTCCTAGCCATGTCTTTAGGAYTTTATTTGTTGAACAGCAAACAGGCAGACTGTTTATAGTGTATGAAGTCAAAATCAAATCTCACAGCATATATAGAGCGGAAATCTGGGAACAGATTGTTTACATCGCTTATTGTGACGTGAGCACAACACGTGAATCAATCGAGCGTCAAATGAAATTCATCGAACAAAAAAAGAGATGTGCCGCATTAGAGCTCTGTCAACTAATATCTTAAGCATTGTTTTAAAGTACCTTGTATGCCTGCCTGGTGGCTGAGGGGCATCATAAAGTCTCGATAAACCCGTAAGTCATCAGCATGTTTTAAAGAATCAAAATGTGTTCTGAAACTTCGAAGGCAGCTGATATACCGTAATCGTGTTATCAGCGTTTGAAGTCAGATCAAGCCAGGCAGCAAAGTCCAAGAGCAGTTCTTGCCCAAAAAAAATACCCTCTAGTGAGNATTTAATTCGTTTAATGTACTAACTGACATTTTACTTGCGATGAGCTGAAATTAATTCTGCCAAAGTTTGTTCGTCCTCTTTACATTTTTCTCATCAGGCTTTTTGGCACTTCCATAAATAAATATCGTTAGAAGAAAATAGTCAATAATTTTACATTATAGTTTGCAACTTTTTCTCCACAAAATGTAACCGGACTAGATGCCGGTCTAGATGGGAAAATCTAGACCGCTTTCAATATCGATTTCAGCCAATCAAATTCGTGAATTCGGTAGTTCCCAGTCTTTGTGAGACACAGCCATATAATAATAGCGAATATTAAAAATTAGTAATATTGAGTCTCTGAATCGTTCTCTAAACACAAAAAGTTGAAGATAAAACAGTGTATATTTATGTAAGTAACTGGAATATTAAGTTATAATTTACGTAAAAAGAATGACGTATTTCTTATACATATTTTTCTCATAGTATTTAAATTTTATATTGTTAATTTGTTGACCACAAATTTAAATCACTATGTTTCGAACCTTGCTAGTTCCGCATTATTTTGGTGACCTGGGGCCCGTTTCTCGAAATCCCCTGAAACCTTTCGGGTCCGTAAAGCCATTTTTAGTTCATCTGTATCTAAAAACGGAGAAGTGTATATGCCTGAAACTTTTTGTATGAAGGGAACCTCTGTTCATACTAAGAATACGTGAATCAAAGCAGCTCTGTAGTCATAAGCTTCGAGATTTTGCTGTGGCTTTCTGGGCGGAAAAACTTTTCGGGACCTTCGAGAAACGAGCCCCTGGTACATTGTATTTAGCAGCAGCTTGAGATTCTTAACTTTCCTGAAAACGTTTTGTAAAGTGTAAGAAAAAAAAAACAGAAAAAAGGATAGCCTCTTCCAGGCGTTCAGTTAGTTGGGGCGTAGCGCGAAAAAGGGCGAGCGAAAAAACAAAAAAGGACTGAACGTGTGGAAGAAGCTAAAAAAGATTAAAATTTATTGATGCATGCAGTAGTACGTCCAACTGAACGAATATGTTGTGGAACATGTATTGAACATTTCGCTTTGTCTTGTGCATAGTTCAACAACCAAACGAACGAACGCTTAGAAAGTACGTTTTAAAACTTTGAACTATTTGAGGTAAAGCGTTAAAAAAGTGTCTATACCTCTGCAAATGTAAACAGCGAATAAATTATGAAATTCTAGACCTAAAAGTCGAGTTTTGCTCTCGGTTTCTTTTTGCTCAGCGAAACAACAGTTACATGTAATAGTGGGGCATCAAAAAATCAATAGACCATATTCGTGTACTCAGTTTTGGACTGGACTGAACTGTCTTGTAATTGAGGCTCATGCGGGAGCATATCATTAAGGTGATTCCCTAGTAAAAGAACCCGCCATAGATTTCCGATGAAACTTGGTATGCTGATGTTACAGGACAAGGAGATATCAAAAACGTAGTAAAAAGAGGGGGTCACCGTGCTTGTTTTCACGCCACGATGCTGACAAATACTGTTATTTAGGTGACTTTTGGTAATCTCCGTGCGCAACAAATAAGCTCGATTATTTTTCAATGCAGCGTGTTATATCACACAGAGTTTGACTTTCTTTGATTGTTTTTTCATCTACGTCCCAGAAAAAATGTCTTTAAATACTCTGCATTTATTTATCCTTTAAAGGAACGTAATTTGGACAGGCGCTGTTGGGCCCGTTATGTCTCCCTCTGTAGTATTTATTTCATTTGCAAAAAAAGGTAGCCGTAGATTTCTGCTAATTTTTTTCTCAGTTATTTAGCATATTGTTCTCATCGAAATTATGAAATAAAAAGTGGGGGTTCCCGTGCTTGTTTAAGAGAAAAGGAGCATTTATTTCGCTATCGAGCTTAGTTTGAGGGAAATCTCTTGCGTTTTGTACGCGCACGCGCTCATGTGCGCGCGCTAATGACGCGAAAATCGTGCGCAGTAGGGATGCCCAATGCAATACTGAGGAATCACCTTAAATTAAGAAGTTATTCATGTCATTTGCATTTGGAAAGACTCCCTGCATTAGCCTCAGTTACAAGCTAGTAGTTCCAGTCCCATACCGAGAATACGAATATGGCCTATTGAGTCTTCATTTGTTTGTGTTGCGCATGCAACAATTTGCACATTCTAACACGTCGGCGCGCACTATCATTTGCACTGTTTGTACCATGTATAGGAACTTAGTTTTGCATATTAAAGTTACTTAATTGATCACACAGCAACGTGTAACATTTGCACTTTGGATGAAAGAAGACCAGCGAAGACCAGCGAAGACCATGCAACTTCAGCTTTCCAGGTACAAATAATCTTGAGAATTTTGTTTGTGGGGTATACAGATAGCGAGCGAAGAGGACCTGTTAGAGAAGAAGAACGGCAGGGGGCGAGGGAAACAGCGGAGAGGTAGGGGGCCCACTTCCCACCCCTTAATCTTCTGCTCCCTTGTCGCCTCCTTTTAATCTCCTCCTCCACCGGAGAAACTGTTTTTGCCAAACAGCTGAAACTTGAGTTCGGTTAAATTCTCTAGGTGCACCACTGAACGAATTAGCTGTGTTGGATGATTTTGTATTGTTTAAATTTTGTCGTAGTTGAATCGTTTCTTTGGTTATTAATATTTTCAGTGGCGGATCTAGGGGAAAAGCCGGCGGGGCAAGCCAAAAAAAACCGCCGCCGTCTCCCTTAGCTAGAGGTCGGGATCTGCCTCTGATTTTTACTATTTGTATTATTTTTACTATTATTAATGTCATTAATTATTATTATTATTATTATTATTATTATTATTGTTATTTGATAAAACAAGAAACGTACACTATTTCAAAAGATACTGACTAATTTCCCTGGCTGTTATTATTATTATTATTATTATTATTATTAAAGTACAATATATTTCAATAATCTCTAATTCCATCATTATTATTGTTATGATTATTATTATTATTATTATTATTATTATTATTATTACTATTGGTATTTATATTTGTTTTGGTATGTTTCTCTTCGCGTTCTTGCTGAGTATCTGTCGTGCAATATTCTGATTAATTCAAATGAAAATCACTAGGTGCCAATGATTTGGACCCAAAACTTTAGATTGTTATCTTATATTTTAAGGCTCTTGTCTGCCATGTTTTGATCTGCAATTTTGTATAGTTCGAAAACGTCCTTTATTTCGCAAAGCAAAATTACTCGCATTGTCTTAATTACAGTAATGATCCGATTACAATCCCTGTGAATAACATACGTACACCATACTTTTAGTTCGTTAGAGTGGTCATGTATTAAAGACAACCCAGACGACCGGTGATGCAAATCACTAAGGGCAAAAAACAAACAAACGCTGACTCGCTATTTTAAAGGTTTTTACTTAGTTGTCTTTGACTGATTTTAAACCGAAGGCGTTATTCTGACGTCCTTTTCTAATTTCTCTGTTTTCTTTTCCGCTGTTCCCTGTATTCATCATAATTCCCCTATAATAACCGCAACCACCTTTGGCGCGCTCATCCCTTATTCCAATGTTCATTACTCCCTCATCTACTTTCTCTTCTCGCCGTTAACCAATTTTTCTTGTCTTTACTCTTGTCCTCTCTCACCTATAATTTCCTTTCCGTAATTTCTGACAGAGTTCCCATGTTCTCTTTACTCTACAATCCTTAAATTGAAACACTTTTTTGTTGTTGTTGTTTTCACAGTATATTACGGAAAATTCTGGGATGGATACAGGATTTTGGGCCGGGGGGTTCGAGATACGGACTGCAGACGGTCGTCTTCTGTAGGGGGGGTACAGGGGCATCCCCCCCCGTAAAATATTTAAATTAAGATCTTCGGAAATGGGATTTTTAGCAGTCTGAGGCCAAGCAGCGTGTGAGAAAATATATTTTCATTCCATCAAGGGTTGAATGAATTTATTAATATTTTTCAATTTCTATGGCGTTAGCTGTTTTGATTTAGAGGTTTCGACTGAACGCCCCCTAGATCAGCCCCGGGAAATAAACCTTTGCTTTCATCATCGCAGTTTCGAACCTGCCACCTTACACTTGAAAGCACTTCAGTCCGTTTTTATGGAATCACGAAGTTCGTTCTATCGTGCAATCTTTAATTTCAATTCTATGTCATTCAGAATAAAAACGTTCATTTTCACTCTGGCGACCGAAGTTAATTAAAATAACAAAACTGCTGGCCCACTGGCCAGTCAATAATTTGTACCTAAAAACATAAAGAGTCGGGTATATAGGGAAAATGTAATTCTCTCCGTATTTACTTTCCCACTGGGTAAAATAAAGCCATTCTTAGAATTATACTAAGATAAATTGAAGAGATGACGTCGGGAAAATGTGAAAATGTCATTTATCGACACTTTTCGCTCTTGCCATAAATTTTTGACCATTTTTATCGGAATGTTGTAACAATCTTTTTTCTACAAGATGTATAATCACACATCACTTTAAAAACATTTTTCAGTGCTTCGCGTTACTTTGTATAGCATACGCAGTTTTTTAATATGATTACCTCTGGATATCTTAAACTTGGATGGTTTTAACAATGGTTAAGCGGAGATAAACAAGTGACACACCACCCAAGATTTACATATCAGGAAAAAGGGAAAAAAAATTAATGCAAATGCTAAAGGACTGACGTCATTCGACATTTACTTTTCATTTATTTCATTTTCTACACAGTCCACTGTGCTGTTTGGTAATGGTTATTTATTCACACATTCATCGATAGACTGTGTGCTTTTTTCATCGGCATATCTGAGAAAAAGAAACCCTAAAATGATAAATTTACGGGATGGAAGGTGACAGGTCTACAGAAGTATTGCAAGGCTGTATAATAGTGCCATTAGCGAAATTACATAGAAAATGAAAACGGTAGTGTGGCCTAAGACCGAAATAAAGCTTTGATGACATTGGCTTAGGGGCTTGACCCAGCGGGGGGGGGGGGNGATGGACCATTATATTTTGATGGGGTGATGGGCTGTACAATTACAACGTAACATCCCTGCTGCATAAGAAAAATTGCGAATCAAAGTCTTGAAAAACGAACGTAAAAGAATATATGGATAAAGATCGGCAAAAATCTTCCAAGACTGTGATTGCCCCTCCCCACCCTGTTAGGTAACGGTACGGTACACATAGGTATCGTTCCCATGGGGCAATGCGGCATTGGGTTCTTGCACAAGGAAGTGTTTCGCGTGGAATTTGGCTTGTGAGATGTGAGTTGCTTGATGAAATAATCCGCCTGAACAGCTGATGATCGGTTTAAAGCCATCTTGTACGAAATTGCTGTCTGCTGGATGAAACAGGATGAAACTGAAGTGTTTCGTTTTGCTAATTTTTTTGGGTGCCTGTGGACCAAGTCTAACTGTGTCTTCTCCCATCGATGAGTCAAAGGTGAAGAGTTACAGTGTTGCGAGGCTTAGTGGTAAGGTTGACATGTTTACTATAAAGATGAAAGATGGTCATGCTTGTGCTCTAAAAGTTTGGGATTGGTGTCAATTACTTTCTGCGCATTATGACTCGTCCTGGCAGAATGGCAGCTCCTGCAGTTGTACTTGTGCATATACGCCAAGTTCTTTTCTTCCGTCTTTGCAAACTTGTGTTAATACAACCTCAGCAGACAGGTTTGCAGGTGAGTGCGTGCAAACCCAAGTCTTTTTAGCCTTATGAGTGGTTGATATTGAATAATGCACGTAGACTTTTGACAAGAAAGAAGGGAAAAAATGATTGTGTTATAAAAAAGACACCCTGAAGAATAACAATATGATAGGTACTTTAATACCCCAAGAAACCTCCCCCCTCCCCTCCCCCTTACATGGTATATATTAGCTGAAAGTAGCAGCCAGGCCTCTCAGCCCTTCTCAGTCCATCAGCATGTTGATTAAATAACAAGGTGGAGGTAAAGAATCTGATCCCACCAATGCGTCAGCCGACACGTTGGCCAACATGTCAGCCGACACACTACTGAGGCATGAACAACGCACTGCTGACACACCACCAATGCATCTTTTACGTTATAAGGTTAAACACTTATCAGTGGCCAAGGTGTTGGTTGACAGTCATGTGGAGGGCAGGCTGGGGAGTACTTTTTCTGTGCTCACCAGGAGACTGCTTATGGGCTTTCAGTATTAATGTGGGCTACACATAACACAACTCAGGGTCCGACAAATATTTTTGACAAAACTTGTCCCTGGGAAAGTGGCATGTCAAAATCACTTGCCCAGCAGAATGAGCTAGTTGTCCCAGTTAATAATGGTAGAAGACAAGTGATTCACTGAACTGTAGCAAAATCAATTCACATCACAGTTTAGGAGCCATAATAACAACAACAACTTAAGTTAAGGACTTACATTAAATACCAATGCATCTGAGTGATGTTATGAATAAACTACAAACACAGAACTTGAAGCTGTCTTTTACTTCTACTATGAGTCTCAATAACAGTTACAGAGGATTGTTTCGGGACCACAATGCGAGATTATTGGTAACGGCAACATTGCAAAAGGTGACTTAATTTACAGCTCATCCATTTCGGTTGGAACACCGATATGCATTTCTTTGCATCGTATTCTTTGTTGTATTCAACACCTTTTTTTTGCTTTGTCATACCTGGAGTACAAACAGTGTCGCAGGATTTCCTGACCAACTTATCCATAAATTATAACTTGTACCTTGAACTTTGATCCACGATATGGGGGAAAAACATGTTATAAAGTGTATAGCAGCCAGGCCTTCAGAGGTTTATGCTGGAAAGTACTGTGTATGAAACTCACAACGAGATGTAAAATGGCGATCGAAAAGTAACAAAAAGTGATATGTATTTATTGCATTTCGAAAGGCTTTGATGGGAATTTCTCTAGGTGAACATTCAATACTTGGATAGCTATAATTTACTGTCGAGGAGAAGGTTGTTGTTATTAATGTCACACACGCTTTCAACTCGTTCCGGATCTTCCCTTTCACATAGAAATTTATTTCATCCAATTGTAGATTGAAACACGGTAACTGAAAATAACAAAATTACAAACATGGGAATGAACATAAAATAACTAACAAGGACCGAACATAAGGAATGCTGAAAAGCGGCACAGGGAAATAAACAAAGAAACTTACAAGACGAATGTGACGAACCAAAGATGAACCGAAAAGCTGTAACAAAACCAGAGACGCTCACAGAACCCAAAGACGCTACTAACTGAAATGAATTACATGCGAACCGAACTTATGGAGTATGCAAATGAACATAACATATACAAAAAGGCCACGAAACAAAGGAAACTAATTACGCAAAACTTAACACCAAACGCGAAGCTAAAAGCATGAACAAATCTCACAAATTCTGGCGCCTACATTCCGGCCCCTTAAATACGAAGGTGTAAACCTTGTATTTACCAACGAAACAAACAGGCCCAGAATTACTCAAGTAATTAAAACGTAAAGTGGTAGTCACTTAAAGTCTAGACACCTTAAAATAACAACAAAGAATACTGCCATAAAACGTCTTTTCGGGTGTTTTCCTTGAAGGCAAGTCACAATCTTTGGCAGTCATGCAAAACAATAACAGTCATGGAACTTTTGCTCCAAGCTGTTCAATTGACTCTTGTAGGCACAGCTTCCTGATAGGGCTTTTCTAAGTCAAAGTCTCTAAAGTTGCTCTAAACGTGCTCCAATAAACAAGGTTTGCTGACTGGACGTTCCAGCGTCGACTTCTTTGTTATGACCTAGACGCGTCGAACGAAACTGCTGCTATCAGGGTAAACCTCACTGACTCGGCCAATCGGCCATTAATTCCTAGACAACTCCTCATCCACAATAATAACGGTGTCTCCTACTGAGAGATTTCTTTGTTGTTGGCTCACAAACTTTTTCATGATGCAATTCTGTTGTGCGAGAATATCATAAGCCACGTCACTCAGCCCAGATTTCTCGGAGCCCGAGCTTGAACCGCTTGCCACACTCGCCTGGTCGATGGCCGCCAAATTGACCCTTGCTTTAACCGATCCTTGCTCGTTTTTTCCAGAAGGCACAATCTGTGAACTTTTAATGTCATCGGTCCACATGACCTTGGTGTTGGAGGACACATCTGGAACATCAACACGAGTGTTAGAGGCCGGCACTTTGTTTGGAACAAAGTTTCCTGCTTCTGCTTGGGCATAAGCTTCCTCTCTAGCTTCGAGGTTCAGCTCATCTGCTCCGTTTTGAGGTTCAGCTCATCTTTCTTCAGCTGAAGCTCATACTCTTAACTTTTGAGGAGTGACTCCGTCTCCTGAAGAGAATGGTGCTGATTTAAAGCAAGTACCTTGGCTCGAAGTTTGGCAATGCGGGCTGCCTCTTTGGCTCTTGCAGCTGATATAGAGCTTGTTTTGGAGAGCCTGCTTGACCTAGATCTACACTCAGAGGGTTTAGGCTTGTTTCATAGACCAATTCCAACTTGAGAAGCACTGTCATCAGGCGTTACCAGGTTATCCTGAAGATTCGTTTCCGTAACCTGTAACCAATCGTTTACTGTTCGACAGAAGAAATCCAAACTGCTTTCGATTTCTGCGAAATAGACCTCTGATTCTTGCCTTTGACCTTCGTCAGTCAAAGCAGCATTATACGCGTGCTGGGCTTCAGCAAACTTACGAAACAACAACGTAATTTCCGGCAGCTTTATTTTCACTGCTTCCAAATTGCTGTCATGGGTTAGAAGGTTGTCAATCTCTCCGTTTAGCAGATAAAGAAGATAACAATCCTCCTCTATTCTTTCTTAGTTCTCGAATTAGTTCAAGTGACACTCCTTTGTGGTCCAAAGAAGAGTTAGGTTTACGAGCATGTGTACTTGTGTATTGAACAGGTTGACCGCTCTTCCCTGCAGAATCGGACAATTTAACATCCGCAGCATCGGAAGACATCAAGATAGACCATACACACAAACCCGATTCGTCTTTTACGAATGATGTCGCACACGCTTTCAACTCGTTTCGGATCTTCCCTTTCACATAGAAATTTATTTCATCCAATTGTAGATCGATTAATTACGCGAAACTTAACAACAAACGCGAAGCTAAAAGCACTAACAAATCTCACAAATTCTGGTGCCTACAGCTATTCATTGTGGTAGATGCAATAACAAAGTGTATTATCGTTTGTCCCACGATGTAGTCACTTTAGATGTAGATCACGATGTTTCGACTGCTTACTGCTAGTCTTCTTCAGGAGATAAGGTCGACTGATTGCATGGTATCATTTATATCACAAAGGTCGGCTGTGATTGGTGCATTTTGATCCTCCTATTGTTCCATTGTCCCGGCGAGTAGCTGTTCCCTCAGTGTTCCACTGTTGTACCGTTCTCCTGTTGTTGTGGTTTTTGATCGTGGGCATCCATGCTTCAAGAATTTCAATTCCACTATCCCTGTTGATGTTATTAGGGTGAAGTCTTACGTGAATAGCTTCCTTGACCCTATGGGTGTACCAGAAAGGATCTTGATCAATAAACATGACCTCATTCCAGATAGGATAGTGGCCGTTCTCGTGGGTGTGTTCAGAAACGGCGGAGGTCTGGGTACGGGTGAGTCGTATATCCCTGTCGGGTTCTNAGGGGAACAACGATTCTAGATCAATAAAAGTAAGTCTTAGCTCTCGAATCGTAAAATTTTGAAACAAAGATTAGGAATCGGCAATACAATATTTATTCGCTCAGCGCGGCTCGAGCAAACATTTTAAAACCTTTGAGAAGCGCGGGTAACAAGCGCGGGAAAACATGAAACCCGCGGAAAAATGTAACCCACTGCGAGCGCGGGAAAAGAAAGGAACTCAGGAGAACAAGGGGCAAGAGAATGTAAAAAAAAAAAGAAATGCAATCTTGCAACTTACCCGTGACATTCTCCGGTCACCAAAAGTGTGATAAACTACCACAGGACACCCAGCAGCAGATGCAGCCACCCACTGAATGACAGCTTTGAGTTCTGGGTCCCCTTTAAACACCCCGCATCCCCAGTTCCCTGTTGCAACGGGGCGTACCCGGGATTCCCCGGTGGGGGCCTCTAAAGATGCCTCTGCAATTTTAACAGCTCCGCATACTGTTAAAGTACTCAAAAGCTCCGCGAATTCATTCAGAGTTTGTTCGTCATTTACGTCTTCATCTGATAACGAAGGCGACCCTTCCGTCGAGCCAGTTTGAAGTTGTTTTTCATCCCGTCGGCATCGCTCACCTTCTTTTGTCGCATTCTCTGATCTCTCCTTTATTATCTCTGACGCCTGTGTCACTCCATGCCATATAATTTCTTGGGAAAGTTTCTCCGCTGTCTGAACGACAGTTTCTGGAACTTCCGAGGAATAAACGCCTAAGGCGTTATCAGAAGAGAACTTGTCCACCTCATTCAAGTCGCTCTGTTCGTCCTCTGAAGATTCTGACGACCTTACGTCACTCTCGCCCAATGCACTGATTTCTCGTGTGTTGTGATCACTTTCTCCGTTCTTTTCAACTCGCTCTTCTTCACCATCCACAGCGGATGAAGAGAATTCATGTAATGTTTCTTCCACACAATATTCTGCAGCCTCGGCGAGGGCGGATGAAATTGTTTCCACAAGAAGACTATCTACATGGCCATTGAGAATATTAGAGAAGTCTTTGTTGTCCGTGATCTTAACTGAGCTACTGCTATAGGTAGTTGTATTCCCTGTGTCGGAAACTAATGGTTTGTTTTCATCGACGAAATCCACCGCATCCATTTCATGTTCGTTTCTTTCATCTTTTGTGTAAATCGAAGATTGGATCGCTGATTCAATAATTAAACTTGATAGTTTCGTCGCTAACGACTCAAACAGCTTTGCATCTGAGATGTAAAATTTTTCATCACTTTCCTTTCTTTTCACTACATGATCAATTCGATCAAATTCTTCCAAAAGGTTTTGCTTAGGATTAGCGATCTCTACACAGCTGTCTGTTCTATCTTTTCCTGTGGCAAACCTTTCAACTTTTGCTGAGCTGACTAACGACGATAAGTCCTCTACAAATTCAGACATATTAAAACCATTTGAGTAACTTTGTCTTGGTGGTGTCTCGGGTTTGGAAACTTTACGAGTCAAAAAAGAAATAAGACTATCACCATTCTTTACAGGAGACCCTAATTTCTTGGGGCTCTTCTGAAACACTTCTTTGGTACCCGCGGCCACGTGTCCTGGCGAGGTAGCCGTGGTTGCTATGGCAGTGGCGAGCGATGACGTCAGCTCAATACACGACATTAGAGAATTGGAGAGCGAATCAGCAAAACTTTTCGCCGAAAGGGACAATGCTGCACCCTTAGCCGGGCTTGTGTCTAAACAAAGAGTATTACGAAGCCGATCTGAGTCAAACGATGTCTGTTCTAGGTCGTAAATGGCCGGTGAGGACGGAGGCGTCCCGGGAACTAGTGGGGTGCTTGAACCGCTGATGTTCCGCGACAAGCACTTCGGGATTGGCGACGGACGGAGAAGGCTTTCCGAATATACCCGAGCTTTCTCTGGCGAACCTCCGAACACCTCGATCAACGACTTTTTCATCACTTTTGTTACAACGTCGCCGTCTACAACGTCTTGAAATAATGCACAATCTTTGTTCGATTTCACTTCATCCAAGGCTTGAGAGAGCGCAAGATCGACAAGTTTTTCGCTAAATTCCTGGATTTCCGGGACGTCTTGTGTCAAAGATTGTTCCATGCTACTTCCCGTTTCTTCCGATGATGCAACGAGATCCTCCAACGATACCACGAGATCCCCTGATGAATTCACACTCCCAGCAAAGGACTCGTTACTGTCATCATCTACAAAGGAAAACAGAATCTAATTTATAGTTTCGTAGAAAGATGTTGATGTAGTCCAAAAATACATAGAATCTGCTTCTACTTCCCAGATGTGCTAAGTCTGCGTTCGCCATTTGTCGCAGAGGACTGGTACAGTTATAGAAATTACGCGCGAAAATGAAATATGCGTTTTAATTGTTGGATCTACCTAATTAACACGACACAAGTCGCCCGAGGCTTGCAATTTTCATGTTCGCAGTCGTAACAAAGTTTCTACATTTGTACTTTGTGACACGTTTACTGGAACACTGAAAGTCAGAAGACTACTCAGTTAGACGGTTAGACTGCAAAACATACCATATCGTTTTTCAGGGTCAGTTCACGCGTGGTTCGGTTTGTCAAATGCGATGACGAGCACGAAAAGTTTTGGGTGGANATAAACATCGTTTGCATTTGAAAAGGCTCCCTGCATTTGCCTCAGTTGAAAGCTTGTTCCAGTCCAACACTGAGAATATGAATATACTCGAGATGATGATAAGACAGTATCTAAAAGTAGTGATTTTTTTATGGCATGGCTCATCTTGTTTATTATTTACACAGAGATTACAGGAAAAAGAGAAAGGAAGTAACAGAGGAGGATACCTCGATGTTGCCGAGGGAGATGTTGGACCCTGGGTGTTGGAGCTCTTATTGCAACTTACATTCGGACACAAACGAAGAGTTTGAACTGACCCTGATCATGATGCTTTCATTATCTTGCATGGCCTCCATGAACAGCAGAGCCACAAGTAATTCAGGATTAATACAGAACCTGATCTCTTCCTAAAATAACAACACACACAATGATTTCAATGAGAGGTGTCCAAAATAAGAAACGTAAGTATAAAGTACTAACTACAGTTGACCTTCCACTATTAGACACAATTCTTGGAAATATTCATACCCCGAATGTTACCACAAGCAAAATAGTTACACATCACTAACTGCTGGAGCTCAAAAGTGAAGAATTATGAATACCTGCACATGACCTGCACCCAGTGCACCACCTCCAATATAACGGTTTGCAAAGTCAACCTATAAAGGCAAAGCAATGTGCTGTTTGTTTCAGCCAAAGTTCATGGGGGAGGAAGATTGCGTGATGAGCCCAAAGAGCATCTGTGTATTTGAGGCTGGGGCAATTGCAATGTGGTCAATAATGGTATTCTCATATAATATGACTGAAAAATGTACTGAGATTTTCAATAATTATTGTACATCCCCCAGAGGAAGACTTTTTGTTCTTGTGGCCTGTTTGCCTAATCTTCCAAGCCACTACAGCCTGCAATTTCTGGTAAATGTCATGCCAAAATGGATAAGAGTATGAGCAGACCTGTTCACATGTAACTTGTTCAGGTTTTGCTTCTCTCCCAGCGTTACAAGTAACACAGAAATATACGACTGGACAATATCGCTCTTTGAATTTCAAGGTATGGTCAAACCTGGAGCATGTGTTCCCCAGAGCATTCAATAGACGTCTCGTTATCAACAATCACAGGACACAGAGGCAGATCACATGACATCCAATCGTCAAGCGTTGGAAGTGACTTGCTGGGTATGACCTTGCAAAACACATAATCACATATTATACATAAAGGACAATGCTGCATTAAAACGAAGCAAATGTTTGCATTTAAGAGTACCCTTGCACAGGAAACTACACCATTTCCCTCATATTTGTGGTATCAAGGTGATTTATACCCTTAAATACTACATAATTTATTTTTCTAAGTCAGAAGAGATGCTCTCTTCTGGTTAAAATGGATACACAATGGTCTTTCCGTAATATGTGCAAAACAAGAAATGGTTCACATGCCACAGCTTCCTAAAAAGGTTCTAATATTTTTGTGTTTCTTTTTGGTAATAGAGTCTAAACTTTTGTTTTTGATCCAAATGTGAATATCTTCCCCAAAAAGGTCACAAAATGTATGCTCAGACATCTAACTGTTAAACTCCTGAGTGGTACTACAGAATCATTCCATCTTGAGATCTGAGCTTGATAATTTTTGATCTGTCATTAGCCAAGAGAACAAACATAAATGCAAGAAACATCAGGTATGTAATGAAAATCCTGTTCAAAGAAAACTGTCCACATTCCTACAATCAGTCATCTTTAATTTGTGTGTACATGAAACATAGTCACAAGTAAGTTGAAATTCAGTCTAAATCAAATATACCATTCAGATGCCACACAGTACCTGTCGGCAGTAAAACACTCTTCCACCAATATCTGGCCACTCATTACAAAGTCTCTCAAAATAGTGGATTAAACATCGTAGCTTAGCAGCCTGGGTTTGTTGGACATCCTCCCTATAAAGCAAACATAATTATACTCAACATGTAAAGAAAGACGCAAAATAAAGCTGTCTGTTTACAATTATTTTAAAAATTATATTTCATCTTTTGCCCTATAAACGGGTTCAGTTTTTGAAAATGTCTTCAAAATAAGTGAATGATTAAATGAATGAATGGACAAATGAAAGAATGAGTTATTAGCATTTCCTAACTGAGAGAATTATTTAGACAATAGAAGAAAATTATAAGCTAGAGTTCTGTCTTNTGGATATTTTCTGGAACTGCATATTAAACAAGTGCAAATTTAAGCCAATTATCATAGCTGGAATATAATAAAGTTATTTTTTTTCAATGAGTAGTCAGAAGCTGTAAGAAAATGCCTTGTGTTGAACATTCACTACATCAAACCAAAAAGATTATATTTCTAAAATTCCCACCCCAAAATTGAAGGCCAGAGCACTAACATTTAACCCCTCTTGAAGACTACCATCCAATCATTAAATAATTAAAAGTGCAAATTCGAATACCTTCACACCTCAATTATTGTAAAGGGATAGAATTGCAATTCTCTGTTTATTGAATTACCAAAGTGCAAATGTACATTAAAGCCTTTCCTAAACTTTCCGAGATTGTAAAACTCTGCAGATGCAAAACCCCAGATCTTGCAATTCCCTGATACTAACTGATATTCTTAAAGTTTAAAAGGAGTCCTAAAACGTTTAAGCAAGGGTAATTTGGATACATGCGCTACTAATAATTTGCCACACATTGATCGATCGCGCAACGATTCTTCGCGCCAAACGCACCGACAAATTTTCGCGCCACCAGCCTATTACAGAACAAGACTCTAAGAATTGTGAGCCAAAGCCAGTCCTTACAATATACTAAAACACATTCAATTAACAAAAACAGATCAATAAGAGCTGTTGTCATCTCGTGAGTGTTTGTAAACGGCTCTCAACAACACCAGCGGGACGTATTCCACAAGTTCATTGTGACCTTGACAATAGCTGGTAAAGAACCAGAATAAGGCTTCTAATTTATAACAGCACGCACTTTACTAAACTAACTTCCTGATCAGAGAAGGTTGTGCAAATTAAATTCCTAATCTCCAACAAGCAAAGTTCGTCGACTCCGATTGTTTTCAATGAAATTGAAGGTATCATTTGGACAACATAATAATGACATGATTGTAAACAATACTTCGACTCACAGGACATACCTTGCAGCTGCGAGCAGAGCAAAATGCCTTCACTTGGAGCAAACTCCTCAATACTCGAAGCTAAAGTGACGATGAAGGGCAGAGTTGTCTTAAAAAACGTTTCACTTTCTTCTCTGGTAGCGATCTCCTCGAGAAATACCTCCAAGCCTTTAAAATGCCAGTTTGGCCCGAAGGAATCCACAGCATCTTTCGAACGTTCGCGAGCGAGTTTCTGAGTGTCATTATTAGCTTCTTCAAAGATTCTTTGCAAAGTCACTGCAAGATCGTTTGCAGTTTGCACACCCTCTAGCTCAGAATAAAGATCTTTTAGCTTTAACCACCTCTCTTTCTTGTCATGTGGCAGCTCAACATGCCGCAAACGCGAAGCCACCATGATCTTCGCAGTTTTCGCGATCAATTGATCGCGACATGAATCTGAAAATTCTCAAAGAATTCACGAAACCGTCTATACATTCCTGTAATGACCGGAATAAAATGCCTTGTGCCAGAGAAGTAAAACAGAAAGTCTTCGCTGGAAACAGAAAATCACGCTATCACCGCATTCCCCTCTGGAACCAGTGGCTGTCGCCTTCAGCGCCTAGTGAATCCAAGTGGAACACGACAGACACACACACAATGATCAAAGTGCAGTTTCTCATTACTCACTTCAGACAAGCCTTGATAAACACTTCAAAGAATATCTACATTGATCGATGTCAAATTTTTGACATTCTGGGGTTAAGTTTTATGTTTACAGTCTAAATACAACTAACCTACTCAACTAGACACAGTAAAAATCTAAAAGTATTTTGAGACAAAAATGATGACCAAGTGTACATAGAGCAGTGAGTGACAAACTAAGCTTGTTCTCTTGGCCTAGATTATATTTTTTCTACTTTTACAAAAGCAGAAAAAATCACAAAAATATTACATTTTTTCCCCGTCCTTTGTTTTTATTGGAAATACCTTACATTACGTTGGCCAGTCCTTAGAAAACATACTAGTTAACAATTAGACCCGTAGCCCGCAAGGGCTACGGGTCAATAGCCCATGACGCGAAGCCAAATGGGCTATTGACCTGTGGCTCTTGAGGGCGAAGGGTCTAATTGTTTTAGTATCACCCAACTAGTCAGACAGAAAAGGTAATAATAAAGTTAGCAAATGCAAGTTGAAGAAATANTCTTGTGATATCTTTGTTGAATGTTTATAGTGGTCGATGCACTTAGCTACAACTAGCTAGTTTTCAGGCATGCCACTTAAACTGAAAGAAATATTGCAAACAAACATAATACGCTTAAAAATCCCACCTAGTGGGAGGCAGACCAGTTGGCTATTTAAAAGCATGATCCAAGGAGTTGAACGAGGTTTTACCGAGAAACAACTCCAGGTTCTTTCAACACAGAATTCTCATGAAGCTGAAAGTATAACTGCATTGATGCTCTGACCTGACTAAATGCACAGTACAAAATTACGTTGGAGAGCAACAGGGAGTGAATATGATACAATTTTTGTCTAGATTAATTATATTGTTCTCTTCATTACATCCGAGTAAAAATCTGGGTAAAAGTATCACTTATGTAGCAGTTCTATAACAATTAACAGCAGTCTATATCAACAGTGTTACATGTAAATGGATTCGGGGCAGATAGAGTATTTTAGATAAGGGGACTCAAGACATGGACTGCCAAAGGCAGTTCCCTGTGGTGGGGTTCTGTGAGCATCCTCCCACAGAAAATGTTTAAAATTGAGGTCCTCATAAATGGGATTTCAAACATTCTGAGGCCAAGTCAGTGTGCTTTTATGTCTCATTTTATAGGGGGTTGAACTGAACCTCTGAACACCCATAGATCTGCCCCAGATGGATTTCCATAAATGAAGGCCACAGAGAGACCAGTTCATGGCTAGGGGTTCTGAATGGTATTAAAAATCGGAGACTCAACAGAGATGCCAAGACCCCACTGTGACCCTGCAAGAAACTGAGAAAGAGGGAGTGACAAATACATGTCCAAAACTCAATAACTTGACTCTAAAGATTCCAAGATTTTAAGATCAGATCAAAGCTCACAAGACCCACAATAATTATTTCCTAGGTGCCATTCACCACCCCAACATGTGTAAATGTAAGGACCTTGCTGTGACAAGTCTCATAATTTCATCAAGAGATAAAGATCTTCCCAAAAATTCTGAACATTTTACCAAGTTTATTTTTTCAAAATGGTCTTGAGAAATATACAACTGGGCACATTGCACAATTGTTGTGCAATGTGACCAGTATTTCCAGTAATCATCTGATCAATTATTTGTTTCCAGGTAAATCTTACAAGTGGAGTTCATTTGAATTCATTCAAATTAAGCAACTGTAAAGGGCATCATTAGATAATAATAGATCATTCCACTTTCGATTCAGATTACAAGCATGCCGATACTCTACTCTACTCAGAGTCTTTTGTACCTGAAACTCTGTTTACATGTAACTTTTATTAGTAAAACTATCAAAAAATCTTGAAAGAAGCTAAAAAGATTTTTTCATTCTCCATATCTTGAAATTTTATCCTTCCTCTCTCCCTTTCCCACAAATTTCTGCTTCCAAGTCATGGGATAAAAATTTTATTTACGAGTAACTCACACTCATTCTTTAAAAACACTTAAAAGAGAAGGTCACTCGCAAAAAAGGTATGTTTTTTGTCAACACTAATAAAAACCTTGCACTAAGTTTAGCCACTCACCCAAGTTTCAGTCTCTAAAGTGCAGGTTTTCCTTATGAAATTCGTCTCCAAAGAAGCCCAAAATTTGAACATCGTTGCTGCCATTTTGTAGTACTCAGCAGCTAGGCCGCGTTTTTGTGAGGTCATTCCGTCATTCAAGTCGCTTCTTTCAAGACAAATTTCTTCAGGATAGCGGGCACTCCAAAGACTGAAACTTGGGTGAGTGGAAAAGCTGAACATTTACTTGTTATAGGGGAAGACAAAAAAAGTAAGCTTTTCGGAGTGACCTTCTCCTTTAAATTACATTAGTCCTAACTTTTTTCTGCTAATACCAGATATGACATAGCAGTAATTTGCAAGGAAAATTACTCAGTTTTAGGGTCAAAGACAGTTCCAACCTCATGAAAGGTTCTAGGTGTCCTGGTGAGTCTCAGATTTTGAAACTCACTGTTCTGTGTACACTTCAATAAACACTGTAAAGAAACAGAGCTAACTGGAGGAAAATGTTGACATAAATAAAATATACATGTATAATAAATACAGCATTTATATAAAACTTTAAACTTTGAGTCAAAAGATTGTACCAAGGGCCTCAAACCAGGCTAGAATTGTGTTGTCATTTGCTGCCCAAGCTTCAAATTCTTCAAAAGAAATCTTGCCGTCCTTGTCAGTATCAGCGCACTGGAACACGTTGTTCACCATCTCATCAATCGCGTCCTGTGACATAGCTTCCATGATTGGCCATCTGCCATCAACTCCTTTAGCACTAGTGCTGCTGCCGGGGTTATTCAGCAGCATTGCTGGTTTGCCACTCGACGTGGAAGGACCTGTATCATTTGGAATTGGCGCGTTAAATACTGCTGATACTGGCTTGTCAGCTGAGTCATCAAAGGAAGCCATCATTTCCTCTTCACATGATCTCACAACATCACGAACTAGCTCCAGGCTGACTTCAAAGTACGCTTTAAACATGCTTCTTAGATTGTCTTTAGAAATGTAGCCTTTTTTCTCTATATCACAGCCAGCAAAAGCATAGGGGATCTTCTCTTTCTCACTACCTTTGACAAGAATGGATAGACCTATAACAAACTCATCAATGTCAATTATACCATCACCATTTTGATCATAAAATTTAAACATCTTGTCCATGACCAAGTTCTTGTGCTGTCCCAGGGGCCCCAAACATTTGTCAAACACGTCCTGTGTAATTCCCGCCTTCTTCGTAGCAAGAGTTTTGAATTGTTCAATAAGTGCTTCTATCTCCGCTTGGTCAAAGTGGCTTTGCTCTCTGAGACTCTGAATTTCATCCCATGACATGTTACAAGGGTGATCCTTGATGCCTGCAAGTCAATAAGATAAGATAACCAGTCACTATGAGATAAATAAGGCACAAATTTTGTGTACAGCATAATTAAATGGTCAAAGCTAATTGATGAAATTACTCACAGCTTTCTGATTTGTACATGTGTTAGAAAGCTATTACAGCTAGGAAACAAAAAAAATCTGCTGCATTAAATTTATGATTTCACATAAGAAATGCTAGTCAACTGTGTATATCAATGTTTTAAATCACATAAGAAATTATATTTTGTAATTACATTTTGTAATTAATTTTGTAAAGTACATGTAATTAATACATCTACAAACAGGGGCTTGTTAATTTGACGTAAATGACATTAACCACTGCTTAGCCTCAGTGGCTGGAAATGTAAGGTAGAGAAAACAGGAAGAATAGTTTAAATGAGAAAATCTCCAGAAATTAAGCTTAATTTAATGAGCATGAAGTATGAACTCAAAACAGTTCACAAAATCTACATAATTATCCCAAAATACGAGGTACCTTTTTCATTATTTTTTTGTTTTGATTTTTATATTTATCTCACCTGGATAAAGTGGTTTAATACAAGGTGCTCTGGGATTTGTTAGCGGAGGCATCGGAATTTTAATCTTGATGAAGAGATGAGTTTTGTTGTGATCATCTCTCGCTTCGCAGCGCTCGCAAACATCATAGTCTACACAACTAGAGCATTTATAACGAATTCCACAAATCGGACTCGCTTGGCAAGAGTTACAAGTTATCCCGCGGTGAATATAACCTTCTTTTCTCGCTTGATCTTCGGCAATGTTGAAGAGAAGGTTGAGAAGATGTTGACCCTCTTTCGCATCGACGTCCTCACCGACAACAACAGGATTTCCTTCGGTGTCAGAACTTTCGGATCTATGGCGCACCGGTGTGACGGCGCTATGTATCGAGTGCACTTGCTCTGAGGGTCTTGGTGAAGTATCGTCTGGAGAACTCCTTCGTTCTGTCTCGTTTGTAGTTGTCGGAAGAAAGTAGCGTCGAGCTGTGTTAGCGCCAATGAAAAGAGCAACACCGACTGCTGCACCAAACGCAAACTGGGTAACAGACCCCATGGAAGTTTAAAATCGTTGACAGTAAGCTACATAACCTAAAGAGTTTATGTTTAAACAGGATGATTGAAAATTAAGTATTCATTTCTGTTTCTGTCCTGGGTTACCAACAGAAACAATCTTTTGTGTTCGAAGTGAGCGCCGAGACAGCGCCGCGCTGGGCGGCTACTTGAGCCTGAAATACAAGTACCGCGGTTTCACCTAATGCGCATATTCAGAAAGCAATGTTTTCGAATTTTCAAAATGGCGGGCGTTGATTCTGGCGCAAATCGAGGTCAGCTAAGAGACACAAGAAAGGCTTTATTTCGGTCTCCCGATCAAGATGAAAACAGCAAAACACCAGGTGACAACAAGCTGATGCTTCTTTTACATAATTTAAAACTTTTCTATTCCTTCGAAACAACTGAAACTTTGAAGTACTACAACATCTCCCTGGAACACCCCCGGACATTTGAAGTTTGAAGTTTCTGTCTGTCAAAGTCGTATTCCCCGGGCCAAAATGGTGTTTAAACGCGCCATCATAGGACTGCAGAAGGTAATACTAGGCGATCAAATGCCCCTACATACTGGTAGGACATAGATGGGAAAAATAATTACCGGTAGTGGAAAAAAAAAAACGAAATCACCCTTGAACACTTCAACTTGCACTATGCCAAAAATGATTATTTTAATTTAATATAAGCTTATTGTTAAAAAATAAAAGTGACTGACTTTTCACAAGTGAGATTTAACATTTCCCGTCGAGCACTGTGCAAACCTTTTGAAGAGATTGTTTTTTTTTATCCACAACATGATTAAGTACAAAGAACAGTGTTGTCTCCAGATGTCTTCTACAATGTTTCACCATGATCACGAGACAACTTTTTCAAATCCACCCCCACCCCTCATATGGAGTCAGTATTAACCACTATTGTCAAATTCCCATCCCTCGGAGTGCATTGACCAGTCAAATGCTTGGGGTATGCCAGGGGGGTGGGGAGGGGGAATGTTGATGCCTCTTTTTGATCAAAGTATGAGCCTAATTTGTACAGCAACACTGTAAAAATTATATGTAAGCGTACCTCAAACACATCTTAATAATTTGTGAACTTTTTTCTGTACAGAAGCTTTGGAGGCTTTACTCAATAGAATTCAAGTAGATATTGAGGTGGATTCAAACTTGAAAAGTCTTCAGAAAGGTAGTCTAGTCTGTCATATAAGCTCAAAGTGATTATAGTTTAGTTGACTAAACTGCTTTGGTAGTGAAATACTTTTTGGGAGTAGGATTGCTGCAGTGGTGTGCACTCTCACCTCCCACCAGTTTGGGACAGAGTCAAATCTTGGACTTGGCATCATGTGCATATTGTTTAATGCGTGCTTTTGTTCATTCCTCCAAGGATTTTTCCCCAATACACCAATTCCAATTTGGTCTGGTGTGTGTCTTCAATTATTAAAGGGGCTAGGTCACGCTATTTTAGGTAATTTTGTTTAATTTTGTTAATTATGAGCTCTAAACGTCAAATTGGCAGAGCAAAGGTCTTTCATTTGCAAAATCACGGCCACAAAACAACTGAGAATGATTTCCCAGCTGTGTAAATGACATTTTGATATAAACTGATATAAATTTGAAAAAAGGTGGGCCGACGTTTTTCAAATTTACCCAAATGCAATCCACTTTAATCCTCTCCAGTTTTGTCCATGTCCCTTCTTGGCTTTCCTGTGTTTTGTTTGAGATCTTCTATAGTTTTGAGCTGTTTTTGTGATATTTTAGTTAATTCTATGACCATTTGATCAGTGCTGAAATTGTCTAAAATTGCGTGACCTAGCGCCTTTAAGTTTTGTAGGCAAGCTAAAAACTTGACACATTGAGATATTTCTTTTATTTTACTATTGTTTTCTGTTAGATTTTCTCACATTAGCAACATATTTTCAAACAGAAGTTGAAAACACTCAACATGTGGCCACTTTCATGCTGTACCTAGAAATTCTCAAAACAGATATTAACTAAAAATAACTCAACATCAAGCCCAAATACCTGTTGTTTGTTTTGTTCATTTTAACTTGAATCCATTTTGCCAAACAGTATTAATTTATATTCTCCCTGTTTTGTTTCAGAGATACATGAACAGACCCTCACCAAATTAAGACAAGAGTTAACTCAGATTAGTCAGGATGAATGGATGTACAAACCAATTGATCAGATCATGGGGTTTTGAACACTTTGAACTAAATAGCCTTGAAATGGCTCAAATTACTACCACACCATCTGACTATGACAGCTTGCAGTGGGATGTGATCAAACCAAAGCAAAGGATCAATCCCAGTTCAGCAGTTAATCAAGAAAGTGTGTGGTTGTGCCTTCAATACCAGAATGGTTTCTTAGCTACAGTAGCTAATTAGACTACTTAGTCAGACAGTCTGCCATCACCATCACCATTATTGCCAACCATTGTAATTTTTTCATTATTGATGATAAAAAGAGAATGGAAAAATAATACTGTTTACATTTGACACTCATAGCAAGCAAGGCCTGCAGCAAAACAGACCAGGTCAACCTTGTCGTACTTGCATTACTTAGGAGACTTACAGTTCTTTTATCACTAAATCTTGAGTAGAGATAACTTGCTGTGCCGTCATCTGATGTGAAACAGCACTGTTGCCATGAAATATTTGTTTACTGACAGAGACTAGCGTCAAGCTAGGGGTATAGACCCGATTTCACTAACCGAAAGAGAGCACATCACCAACTGAAATTTCACTTTGAAAAAAGACTTACAGTAACTTTTAAGGTACAAGGCCAGAAAAGCCAGAAAAGCTGGCTATGTTGTAATATCAAGAGCTAACTTAGTGTTTTCCCCGTCAACCATACATGAGTATAACAACCATAGTTTATATAACATCACAAATTGAACAATTCTACATAGCAGGATCACATAATTTGAAATGGAGCTACAAACAAAGAAGTTGGTCTATAGTTCAATTAACAATTACATGTTAAGACCAAACCATACCATGATTTTGAGTAAGCTGCTTTATTTTCAAATTATAATATTAATTTTTATACTGTACTTTACAGGTAGCTTGGAGACAACAACTAATCACCACTTCTGTTACTGTGTATTTTTCCTAAGTTTAACTCAAGAAAAGAATCCAATAAATATTTATTACATAATCTGAGCACATCTGTTACAAGTCAAGGGACCAAAACTAGAAATACTAGAATTGTAGAAAGTAGAATTATATTCATTATTAAACACAAAGCTATACAAATGTAATTTCTACCAAAACCCCTGAAATAAATTCTCAAAGATTGCTTTTGTTTCCTATAAGAGTATCTATCAGACTAATGTCCCACCAAATTTACCAATTGCTTGCTGTCATTCCCAGTGAATTTAAGTAATGGACCAACTTACAAAAACTCCCCATTGAAAAATAATGATATTTAGATGTTGCTAGCACCTCCCCTGTAAAAGTAGGTAAACCTTAAATCTCCAAAAGATATCTGCATGGTGTTTCCCTGAAAAGCTACTTCATTAGCATAAGAGCTTTCATGTTGAACCTGCATCTTTTATGGCAAGGAAAAAACTGGCCTTGTGAATAAAATCTGTTCACTGGAGCCTATGTGGGGAAAGAGTGTGTGCCTTATAAACTGTTAAAAGTTTGCTAATATTATTTTTTTGATTTTAAGCTTTCTTGTTCAGATAGCCTATTATAAAGTTTAAGTTACCCAAAATCTGAACTATTTATTTGAGAACACTATTTTTACTATGAACATATAACCTGTCACAGCTATTTGATGAGAAATCATGATTACATATTCTCTCTCATTTGTATGGAACATGAGAAGACAAAAATCAAAAATAAAAACAGGTGTAAGAAAATAATTACTATTAATTTCACAAAATATTTAATATATAACTTGATATGCTACTTTCAGTTTAGAACATCGACTTTCATAGTTGAGGAAGCATGATTCTTAGGAAGAGTCTCTAATTCTCTGACCAATCGGAAATGGTTAATTTAAAGCTACAGGATCTTATTAACGAGATTGGTAACTTTAAAAATTACCCCAACATCCTATTAATTTTGAATACACTAAGCTTATTATCAGAAACTTAAATATATATATATATATATATATCACCTTGATAACAAGACTATGTTAAGGCATAAGTGTTCACATAACCTGTTGCAAACACCAGAAATAATTAAGGAGAGTTCTAAAGTTCAAAATCCAAGCTGCTAGCCAGTGTTTATATCCATAAGGTACTTTAAATGAATTCTCCCAAAGTTTGTAGTGTTTCAATGCATCAAGCTATATGTAAACAAAGAGAGGCCTCCTGATCAATTTCTTTAATAAGCAGAACCAACAAAGTGTAATGCTGAATATGTCGTAACCATTTACATAATTATATCACCTCATGCTGATCAACAGACAAGATATTTTATGGGAGGGAGGAGACCTAAAGGGGACAGAACTGTTTTACAGTCTGTGTACATACATGGCGGTCCTGAGATGTACATATTTTTGTACATTGCAAGATAAATAATTATTTACTTTCACATGCTATTTTAAACCCCTTTTTCAAAGTAATTTGTAAATTCCACTAAGCCATATTAAATTCCTAATTAAATTCTAATGCTAACCCCCAAACCTAAGGCAATCTTTCGTCGGAGAATTATCCAGCAAAAGCTTCAGTTAAAGACTTAAAGGAGCTATGCCAAAATATTCTAAGTCACATTTATTTTGGAATATGATCAAATGATATCAAAAATATCAAAATAGCACTTTCCAGGGTAGAAAAAACACCAACGAAGAACAAACAAACCAACATGGTAGTGACTGAGAAAGTGAAGACTGACAATATTTGTAAATATCGGCCAATCTTTTCGCAGTGCATCATTCCTGAAATAGTTCCTTTAGAAGCTAGTACATTTACTTTAAATAAGTTAGAAGCTGAAATTAAAACATAACTGGTCTAACTATCATCCAAAATGTTGCAGTCATAAACACTTTATTTATAAATAATTGTGTAGTCTACACACACAAAAAAACTGAGTATGTCATGAACTTGTCCCTCCTTGCTACGTTAAATAACTTGCTGGAACCCAGCCCTCCTGTGCAGTTCCTGTGTGCCGCGCAAACCACCACCCCTCCTGTCCAACCCTCAGCAGTTCCAGAGTGTCTCCCTCCTGAAAGGACACCTCTGTGTTCTCCACAGCGTCGTAGCCAGCGACAGCACAGTACCCTGATCCTTTACGTGGAACATCTTGCGTGTTATACTCTGTTGTACTCTGTAAAACAGGGAGCAAATAAATTACCAAAACAATGCAACGGCAGTCTCAATTAACCAGGGCCAAATAACCTCAGATGGAACATCAATATAAAAGTTTCTTGTACTACAGCTCCATTTTTTGGGCACAAGAGACATCTCAGATACAAGCAAAACAATTCAAACCGATGATGCTTCAAAAGATCCCCCTAGGTTGTGTCTGGCTGGTTAATATTTTCATCTATTAATCAAGCACTGTACAAAGATCTTTGCAGTACTCATTCACTCACTTTATAAAAAAGTGCATTTGCAAGATCAAGAGTCCTGGTGCTTAACCCTACTTGGGGTCATCATGTTGTAGTCTGTGGCAGACAATTTACTTGTCTCCACTTGGCAGTCAAAACGTAATTAAAAGGTGAATGTTTTTACATTGTTTGCATGCAATGGGTGCAAATGGCTATATTGCAGTAGCATGCCTATGTTAGAAACGAGTACTGGAGAATTGTTAGGCATGGGTTGGGGGGGGGGGGTGGAGCAATATGGTTGGGCCCCACCCAGAAGGAACACCTTCTTCTGCAGGTTTCAAAAAGGGTAGGGATTTCACAAGTTGAGGGATATAAAAGGGTAGGGAAATCTGGTATTTAGGTACTTAAAAGGAGCTTAAATTAAAATATTTTGAACAGACGCACCTTGAGGCTGTATCATTTAATTTATTAAGCACTACATCATTAACTTCATTTTAAGGCTTTAGAAAAGGGATGCAGTGTTCTTAAGTTCGTATGTGAAAGGAGTGCCTTTTTCAATAAAAAAGTACATACATACCTACATACATACATACTTTATTGGAACTCCCTTTAACAGGGCTTTTCAGTCACAATAAACTAACTATTAATTACGTGAAAGGGGTGCGGAACTTTTTCTGCCAAAATGGTATTCAAAAAGGTAAAGGGTTGGACCTCAGGCAGAGCCTCCCTGTATAAAATTTTGTAAAGTGCCCCCTCCCCCCACCCCATTGCCCCAGATCAAGGGCACGCTGATACAATGCTGGAGGATAACCTCTGATGGACTAACATAACATTTGCAGGGCAAAGCATAACTTCTCAGCGTTTCATACTGTATAAGCGTGAATTAAGTTGAGTAGAATGTACACTGTGTCCTTACCACAGGCTGTGTGTACTGTGTATTGTATTCAGACTGCTCTGGTTCATTGGTCGGTGACTCGTCACTAATATCTGAATCAAATTCCTCTGTGTCAAAGCCATCATCTTCATCATCATCATCATTGGTGTTACTCCTCTCCAGTATGTCTGAACATCTGAACATTATTGATGAAAAACAAAATTGTTATTTCTATATCATGCAGAGGAAAGAAGAGTGCAGGTTGTGAACAAATAATCATATAGTATTGCCCATACTCTGATCTCTACCAGTTTCTCAGCTCCTCAGTGGTGGGTCAAGATAGATACCACCAATAATCACCGTGTGATCCCCCACTACTACCACTGACAAAAGTGGTCCCCTCTGGGGGGGTCTATGGCATCCTCCCCTGGATAATTTTTAAAACTGAGATCCCAGAAATGGGATTTCCTACATTCCGAGGCCAAGTCAGCGTGTTAATGATACCTCATCTTTTTTTTTTTAATTTGGGGGGTTCCACTATTCTTTAAAAAAGTTCTTTGACTAAGAATTAGACAGTGAATTGTTGCTTACAAATGGTCCCCATTACATCACTAGATTGAGACTACAGCATTAATGTTGTAAGTGGAGCAAAAATAAAGATCAGCAATCTTGAAGACTGTTTGCTATTACCTCTTGTTAGTAGCTGCAAAAGTGGATGCAATTGACAATGTAGAATGACTTCTTGATTTTAGTTGTGTTTCTGTAGAAATAGTTGCTGACGACAGAGCTGAGGTTGATTTCCAACGATCTAAAAGAGTACACAGAATTAAGTATTATCTGGGGTGTTTCAACTGTTGTCGCATGCCTGGTATGTAAATAATTATTAATCTTTCTTGTTATTAAACAAATACGCAAAATTATTGGAGAAAAGCCAGATAAAAGGTGTGTGATCTGACACTGACAAAAGATAAGACACGTACCATGAATTCCAAATTGTTCTGAAAGATGAAAAAAAAAAATTGTTCAATACTTAACTTCACACAAACAAGATAATTAATAAAAATTCACTAAAACAAGAAAAGTGAAAATCTAAGCACCACCCATGGCATTGGTGGTAAAATTCCCAGTCATTCTACTTTACTCCGACTGCACTAAAGAGCCTTTAATAAGCTCAGTCTGGATAATAACCTTTTGAATGGAGAAACATTACTAAACAAGACCTTTTAGATCTTATAACTGCACTTTTAAAATTGAACTGTTTCGTTAATACCACGGTCACAATGCAGTGTGCATTCCAAAGCAGTCCTTGATGATTCATTGATTGCTGTAAACACATCACTTGATCAACACAAAATGTGTTATCGCACCATCAGTCTTAGCCTTCGTGAAATCTATGATGACGTAATGGTCTTAATCTGGAAGTTCGCTCGCGATATGCCCATGAATAATACAAAAGGAAACAAGGGTCACGCTTTTAATAACGCTTTCAATAAACAGCTTTCTTCCCTAAAAGTCAAAATTTAATTTGTTGGTGCTTTGAAGTAGTCATGCGAGTCACACAATCCGAGGGTTTACGCTTTTTACCTCAGCAAATATTTAATTTTTCTTCAAATCTCTAACTCGCTGGGATGAAACAACCAAAGAATTCACTTCATTTGCCGAGACCCACAAGAAATACTCACAAAATTGCAAATAAATTAATGACTGTTGCTTCTGGCAAAATAAACTTGTTTGTCACTTAGTGAAAATAAAAGCCGCAACGTCAGTACATTCCATGGCTGACGTAATATCTTTTTAGTGTATTTATTATTCCCTTCAAATCCAACGCCTCTATAAAACCAAAAGGAAATATAATTTACACACAATAAAGAAATCAATATCCATAACATTGTCCCAGTATCAATGTTTCAACGGCTTTTGGTGAGCAAACATAACAGGTTGCGTGATTCAAAATTTGGCCGAGAGGAAGTTTGGGTCTGGTCACCAACAAAACGAAACAAAAAAATAAATAAATAAATAAACAATGTGTAGAACATGAACTGCACTTGGCCCATGGTCACACAGTTAAAAAAGAAGGAATGAAACACAAAAAAGCCTATGTTAATAACTGAGAAGTTTTCACATTACCTTTCACTTGATTGAATTGGGACTGCAGAAGATTTGTAATTTCCTTTGCCCAACGTTTCTTTACTTCCATAGATGCAGGCTGAAAGATGAAATACATAGAGCCATTTTGTAACTAAAAAATGTCAACTTGAAGATTACCAATTTTTCAATGTTCTTTATTTTTTAAAAGCAGGATACCCTGAGACAAAGATTTTAATCAGACACCCCGGCACTTCCCGACTGAAAGAGAACTTAAATTGACACAAAAACAAAAATAAGAGATGCCATGGGTAACCTTTGAAGCTGCCAAAGCCAGAAAAGTGAGCTATAGGCTTGTTAATGAGTCAGCTTTGTGTTTTCTAAGCTGGATACACCCCTAGACAGCACAGGGTAGTAAAAATATACACTATTCCCACTTGAATTCAAAGACATGATAGATTTCAGTATTGGGATGTACATGTAGACTGTGTTACATAATGATCTGTTTGGCAAGTTGAAAGCTCTTGGGGACGACCAACTTCTAGCTCCTCAGTTACTGGTCACCATCCAGATTTCAATCTTGCAAGCAATCAGTTAAAGATATGACCGCTTTTTTTAATCCTGAAAAGGTCACTTAGGTAAGGTAAAAGGCCAAGTGGCTCATCAGGCCAGAACTTATCCTGGTTTCTGCTGCATGAAGCGACTAGGAGTATTCAATCTACTCCCCCCTGGATGTGATGCTAGTCCATCACAGGGTTATCCCCCAGCATTAAATTTGCTGGCACCCATTTATACACCTGGGTGGAGAGAGGAACTGTGAGAGTAATTAAAAGTGTTGTGCCCAAGAACACAACACAATGTCCCTGGCCATGGCTCAAACCTGGACTGCTCACTTCGGAGTCGAGTGCACTAACCATGAGGCCACCACACCCCCCACAAAAAAAGGTTGCTTGAGTGAGATTCAATTGGATAGAAATAATCAAAAGATGACAGACCCATTCTCCTAACCTTTGGAATCCCCAAAATATAGCCTTTAGTTATAGATTAGCATTATTAGAATAGACGAGATAGTTAATTTAAGTATGTGGCATGGAAGAGATATTTACTCACTTGCATGACAAATACTTCTGATCTTCCATTCAGCCACAGCTCAAATTTTTCAGGTGCAGCTGGCAGTGTTTCAGTGAATCCCACATCACATGTCTAAACAGTTGAAAAATAATATGTATCTGACACAGCCTAATAATAATATTAATGTTAGGACATAAATATGGGTTCTAATACTTATTGACCAAACATAAGGTCGAGATGGCTGGAATTGGCCAAGTTGTTTTTAAGGCGTGTTTCATACACTGTAGGCATGCAAAAAGGAACAAGGCCAATATCCAGCCATCTTGACTGAACAAGCTGAAAGAGTCAATAAAGGAATTATAATACAGGACAAAGAACACCAAAAAAATAAATGATCTTTGCACTTGGGAAACAGCACGTAATCCCAAGAGGGCAAGAGGGCAAGAGGGCACCATCTTGACCTCAGGTAGCCAATTACTGCCCAGGATTTGGTTCAACTAGCCCACTATAGAGGTACTATAATATTGGTCTTGAATGCCTGTACATGTAGGTACTCACTGGGGTGATAATACCAAGAGAACGAAAGGTGAAATTTCACTTACGAACGTTGTAAGTATGCTGAGAACCCTGAAGCCAATATCATTAGAGGATTGATTTAGAAAACAAATTAGTGTCACAAGCAGGTTGCAAGTCACATTTGAATACATATATATGCAAAAATTACCTTAACATCCTTCTTGTACTGATAAACAACAGCATCTTTGCTAGTTTCTTGAACATCAATCTTCTTGCTAAAGATAATCATCTTTTCATACAAAAACACTTGTCGCTGCTTTCCCGCTTTCGATGGCAATATACTTAAGGTTTTGTTTGTCTCCCAAACCATGAAGGAATCTTGAAGAAGCAACTTTCCCTGCTCAGCAAGGTTACCAGGAAAACCTCTAATCCCACAAGAGTGCATGACATCATTCACATGGCGTAAAACTCCTTCCATGGTTTCAAGAGCTTTCTGTGAAAAAGAAAAACGAGTTTACACAATTTTAAGAGCCAAAGAGTGATTTAGACAGTTGGACCCACACAGCCAGAGTTTGGCACCATTTCCGTAACATGAAGTACACACAAATGAAGCTATGACTATTAGAGACCTTGGATCATGTGTACTAAAGGCATCCACGGTCGAGTGTCTATCAATACCGATTGACACTTCATCGACATTTCGATCAATAGTCAGCCGATAGTTGCGCCTGACACTCAATCAACATCTCAATCAAAAATCAGCCAATAGTCAGCTGAATGTTGACCAACTCATGCGTATTGATTGATGCTCAATGGAATGGCTGCAAAAATTAGTTGACTTTCGACCGCCAGTGAATCAAAATGTTGATCAAGTGTCAATCACATGTCAACCAAGGTGTCGAGCGAGCATTGATTGAGTGTCTATTGAGAGTTGATCAAGGGTTAATTGAAGCTATCGATTGACGGTATCGTTCGAGGGTATCAATCAACACTCGACCGTGGATATCTTTAGTACACATGATCCAAGACTTTTAGATATAAAAATCCATGACTGTAGTAATGTTTAATACTAATGACTGAAAGTCCAAAAGGTACCTCTAAGTCATCATATGCAGTGCTGTTTCTTAGTGTCAGTTTCATCATCTCTCTCAGCAGCAGTTGGTATTTTGTGATTCTCTGCACTGGTTTAAGAAGAAATGCACTTAAAGGCAACAGATGGCCCAAGTGTTCTTGACACTCCTAAAAAAATAAACATTTACATTGCATTGGTTAAGAATCACACAATACAGTTTTATTAATCAATTTTGTATAAAAGAGGATGGAAATTAGAGTAAGTAAAACAAACAAACAATAATAATTACATTGTAAAACCTTAAAAAATGTTGGATCTGACCTAAAAATGCTACAAAATGATGAAAAAGTATTAAAAAATTAAATAATAATTACAGTTAAAATAATTAGGAAAGGAGTGGCATCACAATGTATGTTTGACGTAGCATGAAGCAATTTGGAGTGTTGCTAGATGTACTCCCCTGAATGGGATGCTTGTCCATCAGAGGTTAGTACTCCCTAGCATTAAATTGTGATCCTAACAGGTCTCTGCAACCCATCTATACTCCAGGAAAGAGAGATGCCCTGTGAGAGTGAAGTGTCTTGCCTTAGCCACAGGTTCACCCTAGACCTGGACCTCTTGATCTAGAATCACACATATTTGACCACCACACCTTCAAGAAACTTCCACATTAAGTGTATGTTACCTTGAAGAAAGGCAAATTAATGTAGTCCATTCTTAGAGCCTCAGAACTTGGTTTGTTCTTACAATATGTTGCATACATTTCAAATTCATTGCTCTTCATGATGAATGCAGCACCCACAAGAGAAGGCTGATCTTGGCATGCTTCAAGCTCAAGTAAAAAGTCACTGCTGTGAAATTCATAAATCTGTTCAATGTTTCCAAATATTATGTTTTTTTTCCCACGTAAATCAGCCGGGATCTTGCTTCCAGCTCGCGCAAATTCCTTAAGGTATCCATTGACAATGCATTCTAAGTCATTGACATAGTCTTTTTCTGTTTGAATCAATTCTCTCATGACTTGTATCCGCTTCCTGCCAGCTTCTGGACTGTCAGTACCATCCACAATGTCTCTCTAATAAATAATGAAAAACTGTCTTGTAAATGAATGACAGTTGAAAAAAGGCAAGAAAGGAAGGGAGGTGTTTGTGTGAAAAGAAGGGAGGTAGTGAGGTAGGGAGGAGGGTGGCCTTGAGAGAAAGAAGGAGGGAGGGAGATGGGTGCTTTCGAGAGAAGGAAGGAGGGGGGGAGGTGTGTGGTCCTGAGAGAAGAAAGGGTGAGAAGAAAGAAGGTAAGGAGGGCTGGGAAATGTTTGCATCTAAGCATGAACATTCCACAAGAAAACATGATTTGAATAAGTATCAAATTCTGCATGATTCTTGATCTAACATTACACGTCCGGTTTACCATGCATTAAGATAAATTCATCTGCTTTGGGTAAACCCACCTGCATACTAGGCTCAGAAACTGATGAACGGACACCTCCTTGTGGCTGAAGACTGTCAGTCAACACAATGGACACTGGCCGCTTGGTTGATTCAGGAGTAGTTGACTTCTTACGTTCCCGGCGGAACTGAACTGTAAAAAGGGAACCATGATGTAAATATGGATGCTTATGTTTATGTTAACTCATGATTGGAACCCATGTTTGTAAACTGGGTAACATAAAGGAATTAATCAGAAAATTATGCATAATTCTACATGTACTAATCTTAATTACCTCCTTGGAAAGAATCAGGTTTCTCCTTTTACACTTTGAATAACTTTTCTTCAATAGACCAATTTCGATGTATTAAAATTCAGCCTAACACAATAGACTTCAGCACGAGGCTCTGGGGAATGAACCCCACAAACTCTGTAGTTATTACGCAGAGCCTTGTACTGAGGTCTATTGCTTTAGGCTGAATTTTAATTATTTTTAATATTGTTATGATTGTACTATTTCTTTCTTTTTCTAAAATTTTAATTTTTGAGGGCCATTAGGTTATCAGTTTTAATACTGTCAAATGTTACCCTCGTAAAATAAAGTCTTACCTACCTACCTACCTACCTACCTAACGAAATTGGTCTATTCACAATTTTGAAAATTATATTTTGTACCAGGCACACTGACCTGGGCTCTTGAGAGTAGTACTTGGTTTACGTTTGGAATCTTTTTGATCTTCGGGATTGGAAGCCTGATTAGCAGGTATTGCTGATACAGGCTGTACTGGACGCTTCACAACAAGTTTCTTCAGGCTAACAAATGCAGAAAGAGACACATTTATTTAGCACTTTTATGAGTTCCCAAGCCTCATCTAAAATTTTACATTTTGGATACAATCATTTACTTATATCATGTAATACATAATAATATCATCTCATAGAAGAATAGAGATCAAGATTCTCTCTAGATTACTCCAAATGTTAGAGTTTACATGCACTGTAAGTAATATCATCACAGCAGTGTTTTGCCCTTCTTCCTAAAAGCTCCCCCTCCCCCAAATAAAATGCCTGGGTTGTCATTTCGAAATAAGCGCCCTTATTCCACTGCATAAGCCCTGTATTGAGTTTGTTTTAGTTTTAGTTTGAAATTGATTTGAAATTGATCAATAATTTACAGCAAACTGAATCCATGAATATTTTTTTATTTATAATAACCAATTTCATGCTTTGTAGTTTAGGCACTTCAGAGATGACAAAATGAAAATAACATTTATTAATACGTATCCTGTCTCGAATAAGTACCCTATCTGAGCAACCCAAGTTTAAGCACTGTGTGTGTGGGGCACTAGATGAAATATCTTCTCAAAAATAAAATATCATATGATATTTTATAACACACAATTTACTAACCTGGTTTCACGCTTGGCCATCATATCATTGACCTCACTGATTCTCTTCATGCTGTCTTTGACCTTGCTGATCAGTGTTTTATTACCAAGAGCAGTACTTGTGGGCATCATTTTCCGAACCTTTACCATGTTCATCCCTTGTGGACTCTTCAGGAAGTTATCAATTTCATCCAGTGCTTTCTCAGCACCTTCCGATGACTGAAATCTGTCTATGGGCTGTAATGCTAAAAGATCTACACCTGTCTTGCACCACTTGTTGACCTACAGAAAAATAACATGAAAATAACTGTTTCAGAAAACACAGATGCCAATTTACAACTCGCAGTTATATTTCCTCTTTGGTAACTCCTACAGTATCAAGCGGTAAAGAGTATATGCTTAACTGCAATATCTTAAATAGACCTGATCAGAAGCTAAATCAAATAACAATGACTTACCATTTCCAGACACTCGTGTATATCCATTGCTTTCTTTAAATCATCTTCTCTCTTTTGTGCCACCTTGTCAAACTTGTCACAGAGCTCCCTTATTTCGTCACATTTCATCTTGATGGAATCCTTTGCTTGTTCATTTGAGTCTATCATTTTCAGTCCCTTGGCAACTAAACCTTTGGCTTTGTCAAGAAGTTCCTGTGGATTTAAAAATTTTAGAAAAAGAATAAATAATATCAATGAAAGAAATATTTATTTAATTAATGACTGTGAAGGGAAAAGACAGGCACTTATCTACAATAGATCCATGGTATGTCAGACCCAGTCTATATGATGAGCCTTGCAAATTAATGTCACGCTCAGGACTTTACTTATGATATGAGTTCACCATACAAGGAAAAGTTGACCAATATAAAAGCTAATTATTCCAAGCAATAACAATGCACAGTTAGTGTAAAAACTTTAAATTATAACAAAATGCATTCCAGTGGTAACCTATAGTTCTCATCAGTCTCTGTCAAGAAACTTAATATTTCTTAAAATCAACTGTCAGATTAAATTGATTGACAAATCTGTAACTTAACGTATCTCCTCCTCTCTTTTACACTGTTGTGTTCTGTGAACAAAGTCTGTGAATAAAAGGATTTTGATTTGGCTAGCACTAAATAATAATAGTAACCACATGGAACCTTTTGAAAAGTGTTTAAGCTGAGGGAAGATCAGATATGTTATAGTTAAAAAGAGAAGTAGTTTTAATTAATAATAATAAACAACTTTTCTTTTTAACAAGAGTTCCAGGACCTTTCCACTCACCATACTCTTATTTGTAAATTCTTTAAGTTGCTCTAATAGTGATTCTGCATCATCTTTAGAGTCTCCGAGATCTGTCAGAGCAGATAGGTTGCCTAAAGCTGAGAGAAGCAGGCCTGTTGTCTGAAAGATTCAAAAGGAGGAATAACAGGCATCAGTGTGGCAAGACAATTCTCATAAAGTCAACTTAAAACCATTGTAGAATTGTTGTTAGAGCTAAATGTCATCATCATCATTTTCAAATTATCCCCATATACTAGGAAATGAGAAATGGTTTAAAATGAAAACTGTGTTAAAGAATTTTTTCAGCTAATTCATTGAAATGGTTGTATCCTTGAATTTCAATTGGCTAAATTTTGAGCCACTTTTTTGAGGGGGTCTGTGAGCTGTTGTCGTATAATCACCAATAACATGAAATGCGGTATTATCATTGCTAGATGAGTTCTTTATGTCAGAGTTTGCTTATTGAAAGTAGCTGCAATGCAAATTATATTGAATGTTTAATTAAGTATAGTAAGATTATTCTGCCTTACAAGTAGTGTTAAGTGTCACACGATACAATCAGGCCATAGGTCCACATGGGTGAAGAGAGGTAATGTGAGAGTTAAGTGTCTTGCCCAAGAACACAACACAATAAGCTTGGCTAGTACATGAACTTCCTGGATCACTGGATCTGGAGTCTGAGAAAAATTGGACAAATCATGTAAATGCAAAATAGTGATAATGAAAAATGCACAAACCTGGCTCATTTCCCTTTCAAACAGACACACTTTCAAGCCGTACTGAATCTTTGACTTGTGTTCTTTCCAGAACCTGTCAAATTTGTTCTTCATGTCCTCAAGTTGAATCAATACTTGTTTCAATTCTGCAGCATTTGCCTTGATGTCAGGAGTATACCACTCTTCATGGACATCTCTCTGCTTAGGATGAATACAGTCCAACAGAGTAACTCCCGCTTGTCTTGCACTTTCCATGTCTTCTTTGACATCATGCCACATTTCTTCTTGTGTTTCTATAATCTGTTCCATTTCCTGTACAACCGAAGACAGTTTGGTCCGCAAAAAAGTCTGCCGCAGCTCTGCAGTCCTCTCATCAAAGGTTGTTAAGTTCCGTTCAAACCTTTCAATTGCCTGAAAATAAATTAATTAAGTTAGTTGTTAGTAACATTTTTGAGTAAAGTAATAAATGCCACAACTCCTTCTGTAGGTGTACATCTCACATGGAGGGACAATTAGTCATGGTCCCAGTTGCATTCCAACACTAAAATTAAATTACATGTAATTTGGGCTACATTAAACACAAGACAATGTTGCTCTCCAGCAGTCTCCCAATTTGTTGGTGTGAGGGGTGACCAGGGTGTTTGCGCAGGGATTCCTTGTAGTTCACAGCTCTGCGTCAGATGTCAATTCACTCTGCACATTTTTTGCTGCCAGACTATTCTCGAAAAGCTTTTCTCCCAAACCACCCTTCCCTCTTCTCATGGGAAGTATGTTGGTAAGTCTGCTGGTTCAAAATTTCTCTTCCTATCTCTCTTACAATGTTACACTCTCAATGTCTGTTCTGTTCTGATAAAGCTCATAAAGCTCTTACATCAGTGGCTTATACATTCCATGGAATTTAATTACCGTAACAATAATGCTACATTTACATGTATATTCTTGACTCGCTAAACCTTATTGTATTTCAATGCCTAAATTTAGCTTATAATAAATTATTCTTTAATTGTTACCCTTAATCAGTACGTGACAGCTATTGCCAGACAGACTGCTTGATCTGGAGTCAAGACCACTAACCAGGAGGCCACCATAACCCTAAATTGAAACACTCTGTGCCACAATGTGCCACTTGGTGATCATATTACTCCTTATTGTGTAAACTTTGGCCTCATTAAGCTTCCTGACACTGTTAATTATATACCAGCCAACTATTTTATGATCATGCACCTAATTGATAAAAAGTCTTTGAATCTCATCCTGTGTCTAGTATCTGAGCAACGTAATTACGCTGCTCAAAGTGCATCCTTACAAAACCTGAATCCAAAATCCTTTAGAATAAATGTAAGAACATTTTGCTCAATTATAATTGGATGCTATTATAATTGGAATGACATTATTTTGTGTACACGTAATAAACTAGAAAACAATTTAAAAAAGCACACCAGTTTTACTTTGCTAAGTATAAATAATTTTAGCATATTATATCTATTTACTATGTGTTTACTCTTTCCTCTCTTATACTTATTTTCTTTTATCCTAAAATAAATGTATTTTTTAAAATTAAAGGATATTAATTAGTTTACTATATTTTGCCCTTTTCACTGCACTTGTTTTGTTAACAATATTGTTCATGTTGTCAAGTGGATTGATAAAAAATACA